TATAATTCAATGACCACAACATTTGATGACAACAAAATTTGGGGCCAATATAATTCAATGACCACAACATTTGATGACAACAAAATTTGGGGCCAGTATAATTCAATGACCACAACATTTGATGACAACAAAATTCAGGGCCAACAAAATTTGGGGCCAATATAATTCAATGACCGCAACATTTGATGACAACAAAATTTGGGGCCAATATAATTTGACGACCACAACATTTGATGTCAATAATATTCAGGACCAACAAAACTTGGGCCCAATATAATTTGATGACCACAACATTTGATGACAACAAAATTTGATAACAACAAAACCTTGGGGCCGGCACAGTTTGGTGCCCCTGGTTGATGTTTAGCGCAGTGTTTCAATTGATTTCCGACAGAATTTCGTGGTGGAAGCGAACAACCTGATGTTTGCAGTGTCGTTTCAACAGGAAATGCTTCTTTTTTCAGTACAAGCTGAATACGTACGGCGTCCAGCCGTTCTACATGGGTCTGGAAGAAGATGGCAGCGCCCATGGAGTTCTCTTGCTCAACAGCAATGCAATGGGTAAGGAAAAGAAAACAAAAATGAAAGATCCGTTTCATTTTTTCAACATTTCTATATATATATATATTTTTTTTTTAATTTTTTTTTTTTTTTTTTTGAGATTTCAGCTGATTTTTGGGGTTCTTTTGTTGCCTGTGTTTTCAGATGTAACCTTCCAGCCCACGCCGGCTCTCACCTACCGCACCATCGGGGGAATTTTGGATTTTTACGTCGTTTTGGGTCCGACGCCGGAGGCGGTCGTTCAGCAATACACTGAGGTACAATTCCCCCCCCCCCCCTTAAATTTGGGGTCTGTTGCTTCGTTTTCATTCATTTTCGATTTGATTTGCCTTGATTTGTTGTTGCAGCTGGTGGGGCGACCGGTGATGCCGCCCTACTGGGCGCTGGGATTCCAGCTGTGCCGCTACGGCTATGAGAACGACTCCGAAATTGCCCAGCTGGTGGAGGACATGAAAGCAGCCCAAATTCCCTACGTACGTCCTCCGAAATCAGAGGAAATCTGGGACAAACGGGGGCCTTTCCATCTCCTTTGGCACCATTAAAAGCGCTGAAGGAAACGCAGTCATTCATTCCATCGCGTAAAATTTCCTTCATCCTCCTGTGAACGTTTTCAGTAGCTATTTCTAAATAATATTTCATTATTAATGAAATTTATTAAATTAATTAATATGATTAAATAATATTATTAAATATTATATAAAATGATTAAATTAATATTATTAAATATTATTATATTATTATTAAATATTATTATATTATTATTAAATATTAATATTTCTATAGCATTTTTTTTTTGTTTTCAGTAACTCATTCAATAGTTAAAAAGCCTCACAATTATAATATAGGTTTTTTTAGTTATAATATAATATGTATTATATAACATATAATATAGTTTTTTACTTATAATACGTATTATATAACATATAATATAGGTTTTTTAGTTATAATATTAGTTTTATTATTTATTATTTATTATTTATTATTTATTATTTATTATTTAT